CATTGCCCATCACTAGTGTCTTCTTTGCTAGCCCATCAACCTTTTAATTCTCTGACATGTCCACATGAGCTGGGATCCATAATATTGTGATGTCACTGTCCCTCCTTTCAGTCCCACTTATTGTTACACGGACATAAGATACCAAGTCCTGTCTGCTATGTGACATTGTACTTTTCCCCTGTATTGACATTACTCTGTAATACTTCATTGAATCCCCATTTCCTCTCCTCTCTACTCCTTCTTTCTTAATCTTATAAATTATAAGAACTATGTACTCTACTGAAAGTAAAGAAAGAAAGTCACTTTCGGCTTTTCCCGTTTTAGGGGTCGCCACAGCGAATCATCACACTGACGACTCGCATGTTGACATTTGGCACGTGTTTTAGGCCGGATGCCCTTGCTGACGCAACCCTGACTCTAACCCGGGCCGCAGCGACGACAGCGCTGCGCCTTAACCACTAGCCTAGCAATTCTGCTTTCTCTGTATTAGATATAGCGATTTGTTCGCCATTCAGCAAACCTGGGAGGTACCGCTCTCTTTTCTTTTATCTCCTTCCATCTTCTCAATCATGCCCCAAACACTTCTTATAGAGGCATGATGCTACACACTCCGGTGCAGTAGGTGGCAGTAGACACTATTTTAGTTGCTCTGTAGCATGCCATTTGACTTGGGAAGAAGAAGGGTAACCAAGACTTTCTTTCATATCATTCAGATTCTATTAACTTATCTCAGTAAAATATAAACAATGACGGGACTTGGCTGATTGCACGAGTTTAAAACCGTTATAAACAATGATGGAAGTGGCAGGGAAAATGACGATGTTAACGTTTAGCTACTGGGTAGCTAAATAAGTAGCATCAGCTAGTTTTCGATAGCTTAAGCTACGTTCGCTAACTAACGTTACAGAAATATTGCTTCCAATGCTAACGGTAACTCTTAACGCTAGAGCTACAACAAGTCAGTGAACTTTGATGAAACTCTACGTTAAAGGTCACTCAAGGTCTTTTAACTTACTTTTAATCTGAAGTTCCCGGATAATTTACCAAAGTATTAACTAAAGATAGCTGTGGTGCTAAAGCCATCTAACGTACTAGCGATGCTTCAAAGCTAACAGTCTGTATTGGGGCAGGTGAAGGACTAACACAAGTTTACCTTTACGGCTTCGCCGAGCTCGTCTTCGTTGCAAGTGTCGAGTATTATGTTTAATGTCATCTCGCGTCAGCTAAGCTAAATGCAGTAATGCAACACTATATATACCAGCAGCATTCGTAGTCTCAAAAACTACAACTGAATTTGGGATAGTACCGCATCTATATGTAACCTTATACAAATTTGATAGTGACTTTTGCAGCCTTGACAGTTTAATTTGCCCTACTGTAAACTTGAATTATTATAAATATGAGCAGTAGGTGAGCCTGTTTATTTGTATGTGTTTGCAGAAAGCACAGCTATGTGCAGCTGTGTGAGAAGCTCCAGGGCTCTGTCCCCTGTCCTGCTTCCCCGGATGGGATACAGATTGCTCGGCAGGGGTCTCTGGACCTCCCCCAACTGTAAGGCTGTCAGTGGAGATTCCCAGCTGCCCAGCCAGGCCCGTGTGGTGATCTGTGGAGGAGGTATTGTGGGAACATCAGTGGCCTACCACCTGGCTAAACTGGGCTGGACGGATGTTGTACTTCTGGAACAGGGCAGGTGAGACGGATGTCTGTCAAACTTCATACCTCGGATATATTATATTTCAAGGAGATGGGGGTGTAGCTCATTCCCACCACCACCCCCAATGACCTTGTAAGGTGGCCATACAGCTTAATGAATTATGGTAAACGTTTTGTGTTGAGTATTTCCTAAATTAGTCTTGAGATAGAATTGTCTTTAGCTCAGTGATTCTGGGTCTGTCCCCAACCCTAGGATGGGCCCTCTGTATTTGTTTAATAATTACACAAAAACAATCAATTAATCAAAAATTATTGATCAGTAACATTGTTTCACCACCACAGGGACAAATAAAGACAGTAGGCAATAGAGAATCAGCAAAAGAGCAGATTGAATATTGTTCTAATGTAAATTACTTGTTCTGTTATCCTGTTGGCAGACTTGGTGCAGGGACAACCAGACTGTGTGCTGGCATAATCAGCGTGGCCAAGCCTATTTCCATTGAGTGTCAAATGGCCAACTACTCCTGTAGTCTTTACCAGAAGCTGGAGGAAGAGACGGGGATTGCAACAGGTTAGCCACTTTGACCTGTTTTGCTATCACCAATATTCATGATGCTTTCCAAAGCTAGAATGAAAACCTACCTGCAGATTGAGGCATTTTCACTTTCCACTTTGATTAATTTGAGGCCTGCTGAGATGTGGTGTGTGTGTGTGTGTGTGTGTGTGTGTGTGTGTGTGTTATATGTTTCAGGTTATGTGAAGACAGGGTCTTTGTGTTTGGCCCAAAATCAGGATCGCTTCATCTCTCTTAAGCGACTAGCATCAAGACTCAAGTAAGACCCCAATGCCTCAAGTCAGTGCTTAGTAGAGTAACCTTTAAGATTATGTGGATCAGGCAGCTTAGCACATTGTGAAAAGAGCTTTTTCTATGCAAAACTGCTCAAGCTTTGCCAAGTTGCATGAAGAAGTGAACCAGTTTTGGAGACTGGCTCATAAATCTTGATTTAATTAAAGTCTTGTTTCTAACTTTAACACTCTATTTTGTGTCTGGTAGTGGCATGATGATACAAGTGTCTTGCTCAGACATATTAACAAGAAAAATTACTTACTCTGCACCCTCAGGTCATGTATTTTTCTCCTTTTGTTGAGCTGAAAATTGTGCCAATCAAATGTATATTAATGTTAATCCTTCGTTGCTGCCTCCTACACTCTCTTCTCAGGGTAATGGGGATCAGCTGTAACATCATTAAACCTAAGGAGGTGGCCAAACTCCACCCTTTAGTTAACATTCATGACCTGGTGGGAGCACTTCACCTCCCTGCAGATGCTGTAGTGTCTCCACCTGAAGTTAACCATGCCCTGGCTGTGGTGGCTGCTAAGCAAGGTAACTCAAATTCACAACTTGTCTTAGATAAACAATTAATGGACTTTTGTAGGAAAACATTTTACAAACCTGATAACCTTTAATTCAACCTGCTCTGTTGTTTCTCTGTCTGCTCCCCCTCTTCCTTGCTATATCTTCCTCACATCTCCCATTTTGCCTCCTCCTTGT